AACCACTGACTCATCTTTCTAGTCTTTGGCAGATTCTTCAGTGAAATGCAAAGGGCTTAAGATTACAATGAGCACACATTAGGTTTTCTGTGTTACTTTTGTTGTGGGGGGCAGTGTTCATTATAGGACCTTACTTCCCAGGCAAAGCACGTAACAGTAAGCTATATTCCCACACTGCAATGAGCTAAATATTGACTCATATCCTAACATTTTGTTCACATCCTTACTCTTTCAGGATGTAGTCAGATTTTCATATTAGAAAAACCCACTTGATGCTTGGAATGTGCATATGGAAGGAAATTCAGAGTCTAAATAGGAGGCATTAGGTAGTCTGGGGGCCTATTCTAGTGGTTGGTTGGTAAAGTTCTACCAGGGCCTTGGAGAATGCAAGGCAATAGAAGAAATCAGGGAAGAAAAGCAGAGAAGGGAAGTTAGTGATTGAGTGTGTACTGTAGCAGACACCATGTGGGGCACTTTATACAGCATTTCAGCATGGTCAGAACAGCACATAGTAAGATGGATATTCTTCATGAAATGAAAATAAACTGCCCTACCTTCACGAAGTTGGCATCTTAGCAACTGGATATCACTGATAGGGTTTCATGTTTCATATCTTTTCACACACCTTACCTTTACTCCTCTACCTGAAGCCTAGCACCTCCCTGAGGAAACCTTCCTTAAAAGCCCCACTCACACTTGAGGCTGAGGCAGCCCCCTCCTCTGGGATCCTCAGTCCTAGTTTCATCTAGCCTCAGCACGGATTTCCCGTTCATTGTCCTTCTCTGTCTCCTCTAGTGGACCATGAGCTCTTGAAAGCAAGGTCTTCTCTGAGGCTCAGGTTCCTAGCACAGGGTCTGGAAGATATTAATAATTGTTGAATAAATAAACCCAGATAAAGGTTAGGAGACTTGTCTAAAGTCACATAACCATAAGGGAAGAAGTGGAGAGTCAGACCTACATCCTAACTCCAAAATCCCATCGCAATTACTTTTGTTGGTCTGCCTAACCCAACATTTTTCTTTTCTCCCCTACAAGGACTGAGGAGGAGAAGAAAGACTGGGTCCAGGTAACATCCAAGAAGGCTTTGTGGTAGGGGTCTGGAAGAGTGTTAACAGGTCTCTTAGGGGTTGATATACTTTACCTCAGAACTGTCTAAACAGATGGGCCTGGATTCCTGCCTTCCAACAAATGTTATGATCATTGTTTTAGAGATAAGCAAACTGAGGGCCAAAGGTTAAGCAGAAACAAATTCTTTTAGAGGCTGGCTCTTCTGCTCTTCTAAGTGAGTCAAGCTCTAGACCAGTCAAGCATTAGCCCAGCCAGCTGCCTGGAAGGCCATCTCAGGTTTTCCAGCCACCTCTTTCCTTCCTTCATTTTATAATTACCAGACTTAGATCTGAATTTAAGGAAGGATTTTCTCAGGGTCATATGTGTGGTAGGGGCAGAACTAGGCCTAGAACTCAGTTTTTCTGACTCTAAAGCGAAGGCCATAAGAAGGTATGGTAAGGGTGGAGATGGGTGTCTTGTGGCGGTGATCTGATTTCTCATTTCTCATACCTCCCTACCAGGCCATCAACTCCACCCTCCTGAAGCATGAACAAACCCTGGAGACTTTCAAACTATTAAACTCAACAAACAGGGAAGATGAAGACACTCCTCCTAACTCTCCAGTAAGAGTCCTACTCTCCCCTTGCACTGGGACCCTTCCAGGCTTAAGTTCCGACCTTCCCTTGAGATGATCTTTTCCTTTCACAGAAAGTAGACTAGAGAGCATTGCAGACCCTCAGAAGTAGTCTTCTGTTAGGGATGCAGAGAAGTCACTGGGAAAACCACAGCCCCCAAAGTAAAATGACTTATTTATAATAACACAGTGTGGTAGGAGCAGAGCCAGACTCAAAGGCAGTTATTCTGTTTGTGTGTACCCCCCCCCCCACCCTGTGATGATCCAAGTCTTGGAGCAAAGGCAAGGAGGGCTGGCTGGATCGGGCTGAGGAGTTGTCTCTGATCTGGGACCTAACCTTCTCCCTAGAATGTGGATCTTGGGAAGAGGGCACCTACGCCCATCCGGGAAAAGGAAGTCACCATGTGCATGCGCTGCCAGGAACCCTTCAATTCTATCACCAAACGCAGACACCACTGCAAGGCCTGTGGGCATGTGAGTGTTGGAAGGCAGGGGCAGAGCTAAGGTGGGGACAAGCTAATAGCCCAGAAGCCCACTTCTGAGTGGGTACCCTCCAAGTAGGAGGCAGCTGCAAATCTGCTGTGATAGTTGGTATACTAAAGTCCACTGAAATCAGGCTGCACTTGCCCACTTGCTGCCTCAGGTGGTGTGTGGGAAGTGCTCTGAGTTCCGGGCTCGCCTCATCTATGACAACAACCGCTCCAACCGTGTGTGCACTGATTGCTATGTGGCCTTGCATGGGGTACCTGGGAGCAGTCCAGCATGCAGCCAGCATACACCCCAGCGCAGGAGGTCCATCTTGGAGGTAAGAGCTAGCTTCCTAACCACACAATCCCAGTGTGCCCCTGCTACTGACCCAGTGTGATTGAGGCCTGAGCATCTCTAAAATAATATGGTGCTATGTGCACCCCCTAATCAGGTGACTCAGGCTTGGAGCAGGGAAAATGAGTGTAAGAGTAATTTTTATTGAAGTACTTTACCTATTTACTCCTCACAGTCACTAATCTACCTATCTCTTACCCTCAGTTTACAAATGAGGAAACAGCATCAGGTTATTTGGCCAACTTACCCAGTCAACAAGTAACGTTCCTGTTTTGTTTTTCTGAGATAGGGTCTTACTACGTAGCCTAGGCTGTTCTTGAATTTCTGATTCTCCTATCTCAGCCTATCAGGACAATTTTTAATGAACAAGTTGCTTTTATTACATAGTAGTATAAATGGGATGACATAAAATATAAATACTTTAACACCCTTCCTATCTTTCTAGGCCCACAAGCATACAATTTTGGGGTGGTTGTTTAAGTAAATCAAGGTATCCAACACTTAGAAAACTTACTCTGTGTCAGGACTGTTCTAAATGCCTTTTATGTGTCAATTTAATCCTCACAAGCACCCTCGGCGCCCTCTTCCCAAATCCTACATTTTCATCTAGAGCTTGGATTCTGAGCCAGACAGCACTAACCACCTACTTATTCCCTTAATTAGATGGCATTTCTCAGAGTAGGCAATGGGTACATGATGAAAAAGGTTAGGTCTTACTGTCACTTAAGGAATAAATAGACTGAAGAGTGCCTGACCAGCATTTCTATGCCCCCACTGAGATCTGCGTACTAATACTGTTAGAGGCAGCAGCCAAACCTGGCTTTGGATCTAGACTAAGGCCCAATCACTTCTGCCACCAATGCTTTACCGCCTTTGTCTGAGACATGGGAATAGCAGTCCATAAATTATGGGGCTATTTAATCCAAGAGACTAGCCTTCTGTCACCATTGTTTTCCTGTGTCTCTGGTAACAGAAACAGGCCTCAGTGGCTGCTGAGAACAGCGTCATCTGCAGCTTCCTGCACTACATGGAGAAGGGGGGGAAAGGATGGCACAAGGCGTGGTTTGTAGTCCCTGAGAATGAACCCTTGGTGCTGTACATCTATGGAGCCCCTCAGGTGTGCACTCTGTTCCTTCAAGGTTTTTTTTCAGCCATCTGGCAAAGCTAGGCGGCCCCTCCTCTGTACTCCTTGTCCTTAGCCAAGGGGAACAGAACCCCCACTCTTAAGCCACAAAGACTAGGTAGAGATAAGTGATTGTAGGAAAATGAGGGTGAGGTGGGAAGTCTGGGCTTTCTGGAGAAAACAGAAGTGGCTACACAATACCTCTAGGTCTGATGTGGAACAGGGAAGAGAACGCAGATAAAGTAAAGAGCTAGACAAAGACCTGAAACCAAAGTGGTAGACTTGACCAGCTGGTTTGGGGCGAGGGGGCGGGGTGTGTGTGGACACAGATATGAACCGGCCTGCATACCAGTCCTAGTTCTGACATTTTTTTCCACTCGTTACAGTGAAGGCAAGGAAGGTTCTTAGCAGGAAAAGGAAAAGCAGGGAGATCAAAGCCAGTTGGCTGCACAGGCAATGTCCAGCCACATGACCCCAGCTTTGTCCTTCCCCAGGATGTGAAAGCCCAGCGCAGCCTGCCCCTCATTGGCTTTGAAGTGGGGCCTCCTGAGGCAGGGGAGAGGCCCGACAGAAGACATGTCTTCAAGATCACACAGAGCCACCTAAGCTGGTACTTCAGCCCGGAGACAGAGGAGCTCCAGCAGCGCTGGATGGCTGTGCTTGGCAGGGCAGGCCGTGGGGACACATTCTGCCCAGGGCCCACACTGTCTGAGGACAAGGAGATGGAGGAGACAACAGTGGAAGCTTCAGGAGCCACTGCTGAACCTCCTGAAGCCCCCCAGACCCAAGATAAGACCTAGAAGGTTTAGGGGAACTGGGAATCCCTACCCCACACTCCAACTGCCCATGTTCGATTGGGGGCTCCAGCTCCTGCCCCATGCAGTCAATACTTGAATTCCTATCATGGGCACTTTCAATCCCGAATGCTGAGTCTTGGGTTTTTTAATTCATCTTTTCACAAAATATGGGCTTTAAAAACAATATTCCTATGGTGATATTAATTTTCTTAAATCCCTCTCCCCAGAAAGGGTGGGAGCTAATTGCTAGATCCACCTGAATTAGGCTGTTTTCTCCTAACACCCCACAGATCCTGCTTCCATCCACTCCCCCCCAAAAGCACCAGAAGCAGGAGACCTGGATTCAGGTGCCAGCTTTGCCACTGATCCTGAGACACCAACCCACCTTTGCTTCCTCAGCCAGTGTCTTCAGATGTATGACTTCACCAGGGTGGTGACTAGACCCCCGCCCCCCCGGCCTTTCCCATGGCTTATAGCTTCTACCTAGCCCCGAAGTAATCCAGTATTTTATTGTCTAGACCCACGGCAGGGCCACTGGGCAGGACAGGAATGGGAGGGGGGAGAACAATGGATACTGTTTTTTAAAGAAAAATACAGTTTATTTCAGGCTTACAGTAACTTTCAAAGCCCTGCTATGGTCTGTCCATTTGTCCCAGGCTACTGGAGGTGGGGGTGGGGGGAGTGGCAAAGAAACTGCTCCTTGCTGAACTCAAGCTTAGCTCCCAGAAAGCTGGTTCCAAAAGCAAAAAAGAAGGTGTTACGTTATTATTAAGGTCTTAGGCCTCATCCCTGGACTTAAAACAGCCCAACTTTCCCAATGAAACCACTTAGTCAAGGTCTTAGAATTCTTGAGAGCATTCAAGACAGAAACATTCCCGGGAAGACAGAAGTTCTGGGCAGGGATAAGTTAGTTGCTCCGTAGGAGGTTGGGGTGGAGGTAAGGGAGAGGTATCACAGCTACTTTTGCTTACAATTCAACAATTCTCTTTCAATTGCATGTTCATCTCACTATTCCTGATCCAGCCAGTCCACAGAATTCTTGTTCTTTCCACAAATGTACCTGCCACAGTCTGGCTTCTCCTTTAACCATGGCCACATGAATCCCCCATCTACAATGGCTGCACCCAAGAGGTACTATGCGGGGAGACCTGGCATCATCGTTACTCAGATGGTATCTTAAGATTCAAAGGGCTCTGACAGAACAGATCCCATCAACCCTAGAACCAAAGATCCTAGGGCTTTTCTTCCCCTGAAGGGTGATGGAAAAGTGAGCAAGGTGGTGATATGGTTATAAGTCTATAGCCCTCCAAAACAGTCCTTATAAGTCTTAGATCACTTAACAAGAGCCCAAACCATTTCCAGCCTGCCTCATTTCTTTCTCCGGACAATGGTCCAACCATCTTCTACTATATCCTCTTCCTTAATAGTCTGGGAGTCTGGATGAGAGGGTTCAGGCTGGGAGCAGACCCCATCCATAGCAGCCCCATCATTTGTAGCTGTGATCTGGAAGGAAAATACAAGAGAAAGCACTTATTACCCAGGCACTGTTCCCAGTGTTCCCATGACTGGCTGTGTAAGCTATCCCTCTTGATAATACTACCACTAACAACCACCATCATCACTTGCCTGTGTATCTAGCTACTCTCCCTGAAAATTAAAAAATCTGGATCCCCCACCCATGGGCACCTCCTCACCTCCATGTCTTCCACACTGTCCACATCATCTTCATCCACATCAGTCTCTCTGGCTGTCCTAAGTGTGGCAGCTGCAACTTTACACTTTTTTTGGGTGATGTGAGAGGCCATCTCCCTCAGAGCAGCCCCATCACCCCTCTCGAAGTGGTAGAACATGGTTTGTAGCTGCTGGCTCACCTACCAAGGAAACATTCAACCAGTTTGGACTTTTCAGAGAATCTACCATACAACTGGCTTCTGTTTGCAGCAGAGTAGGGAGAGGGATGGAATTTTCCAAAAGACAATGGGGCTCTTCAACAAGTTTACCAATGCAGCTGGGCATGGTGGTGGATGCCTATAATGGAGAGACCTCTGAAGCAGGAGGACTATGAGTTTGACATCAGCCTGTGCTCATAGAGAAACAAAAGTTCATCAGTGAAGCAACCATACACTGAGGGCTGGGATGATACTGTGAAGGAGGGCCTCCTAGCAAAGAAAGCACTAGAAAGTATGCACTAGTGGTGCACACCCATAATCCCAGCACTTGGGAGGCTGAGGTAGGGTAGCTGCCATAAATGTACGGCTAGCCTGGGCTACATAGTGAGATCCAGGCTGTCTAGGCTAGAGAATAAAACCCTGCCCCCCACCCCCAAAGGGCAGAAGATGCAAAATGGAAGGAAATCTCATTGGGGGAGCCATGTTAATTACAATAGGGATGGAATTTGACCTGGCTCTGTTTGTCCCTAGTATGGGGGTGAGGAACAGGGCTGATTGGGAATGATCTGTAGAAATAAAAGAAAGGTCATGTTTGGAAAGGCAATAAGGAATCTTAAAAGGATCTTGTTGATGACTTAAAGAATGATTACAACCAAGAGTCTTGTCTCAAAACAGATAGTGGGGAGAAGAAAGACTGCAGGCAGGGGGAAGGCAGCTGTGTCCACAAGAAGCTCACCTGGGGCAGACTACCATCCTCCACAACTGTATCAAACTCAGTGGTCATCAGCTCCCCAAGGAAGTCTTCCACTTCTTCTAGCTCCAAATCAGCTAAGTAGGAAACATAGGGCCCTTTAGACAAAGACCAGCCAATTGATTCAGCTCTGCCCACTATTCTTCAGTACTTTAGTATTGTTTATGGTTGGAAGGTAAAGGTCCAAGTGGTGCCACCTCACCTATTCTGACAGACCTCAACTCAAGGTGACCTTAAGCAAACTACTTATCTGAGCCTCGCATTTCTTATCTAAAGTGAAGCTAATAGGGCCTGTTACAAGGGCTCATCCAACACAGTGCCTGGCACAAAGGAGATGAGATCCCTAATCCATGTTAATTTGCATCACTTCAGGACTGACTTTTGAAGAACAGAGATATTTCACAGTTGTGGCTCCACTAATGTAGGAGGCCAGACTCACTGCGGTAGGTAAGAAGAAATGGCAATGGGACTTCCATTTTAAATTTTGTTTTTTGAAATGGTCTCACTATGTAGCCCTGGCTGGCTTGGAACTCAGAGATCTACCTGTTTTTGCCCCCTGCATGCTGGGATTAAAGGTGTGTGCCACCACATTTGGCCTCTTCCGTAATTTTTATGGTGCCAAGGATCAAATATAAGGCCTGGCACATGTGAGGCAAGCACTCTACCAATGAGCTACACCCTCAGCTGGATGTGGTACTTCCAATGATGAAAATCATCATAACCTTGATACCAGCCTCCAACTTTCTGACTCTGGCTAAGCCCTGATCATTGGACCATGTTCTCCCTTTTCAGAATTAGACTTAGCTTTCTCTTCTCTGCATATATTCTTATTCCTATCACTCAACTCTAACCACCTCCAAATCTCTCTCCAGCTCAGGCTGCTTGTGTGCCCAGATGTTAGACAAGTGCCTCCAGCCCCCATATCCAAAGGCAGATTACCCCACTTCCAAACCTGCATCTCATCCTCTAGGGTCCCTCTATACCCAATGGAAGGCACTTAATCCACTCTGCCACTCAAACAAGAAACCTGCCTCTTTTCCCACCTGCCCCCAAGCACTATCTCCCCCCTCCCCCACCATTGCTATAGCCCCATTTCAGGCTTTATTTTCTAGACCAAAACAGCCTTCTCATGAGACTTTCCCTCTCTACATCATGCTCTACACCACTTTCTGAATTTTCTAGCTATCAAACCCCATCCTATTACTTACCTTAGAACCTGACCATGAATTTTATCATCCATTGTGACATTTCAGTTTGCCTTTGGGAAATAGCTGTTATGCTGAGTTTAAGGTTTTTGTTTTGTTGTTGTTTCAGTCATTTTGAGACAGGGTCTCCCTATAGCCCCAGATGGCTTGGAACGTGCTATGTAGACCAGTCTGGCCTTGCTCTCACAAAGATCCACCTGCTTCTGCCTCTGGGATTAAAGACGTGGCCACCATGCCTGGCTGCTTTGTTTTTTAAAGACAGGACTCATGAAGCTAAGACTACTGTCAAACTCACTATGTAGTCCAAGGCTGGCCTCGAACTCCTCATGGCAATCCTCCTATCTCTACCTCCCAAGTGCTGAGATTACAGGGTGTGTGCAATGTCTGGTTTCTGTGGCACTGGGGACTGAACCCAAGACCCTTTGCATATTAGGCAAGCATTCTACCAACTGACCTACATCCTCAGCCCAATTCTACTGAGTTCTAATGGAGGCTCTCCATAGAAAGCTAATGGAAGACAGAGCCAGGCATGATGGCACATACCTAGTACTTAGGAAGCTGAGGCAGGAGAAACCTGAATTCCAGGTCAGCCTGGGCTATAAAGGGAGATACTGTCTAAAAAATTATAAAGTGGCTGGGCATGGTGGCTCACGCCTTGGGGAGACAGAGGTAGGCCGATCTCTGTGAGTTTGAAGCCAGCCTGGTCTCAATAGCGTATTCAGGCCAGCTGTGGCTACAGGGAGACCCTGTCTCAAAAAGACCCCCCCCCCAAAAAAAGTGGCAGTTAGAAAAAAAGAGACCGAATAAACTTTTTCCCATAGAACATCTAACACCACAAGTCTTCTACAGCATATATTTACAAACACTGGTCTAAAAGATATAATTAAAGGCTCATAAGGCTTTCCATGTCTTATCCTTTAGGTATAGGATATGTTTGTACACAAACCCCCACCTCTGTCACTTTCAAAATACAACACATTATCTCCTCAGTTCATTTGAGTGTTCCTTTATCTATCTCTACCCAGTTCACTCAATTCACAAGACTCACCTCAATCACTACTCTTGTGAAGGCTTCTCCTCAGGCTCCACTATCTCAAGAATTCTGAGCTCCTCTTTATTAGAACAGGTTGTAATTATTCATTTACCTATTTGAAATCCCTCACTAGATAGTACACTTTCTTGAGGTATGACTCTACCTAATAGTATCTTCATATCTAAGAAATTAATGAATAAAGAACTATAAACGCTATAGCATGCAACACTTCTGTTAGGTCCTCTTGTTCTGATATAGCCTGCAAAAGACAAGCCTAAGGTGTAGGTCTTTGCTTTAGAGGTAGTTGCATGTGGTTACTGAGCACAAGCACTTGAAATATGGCTAGACCAAATTACGTGCTTGGGCTGGAGAGATGGCTCAGCAGTTAAGAGCACTGACTGCTCTTGCAGAGGACCCGGGTTCGATTCCCAGCACCCACACGGCAGCTATGAACCATCCTAAAGTCCAGTTCCAGGGGAATCTGAAGCCCTCTTTGGCACTGCACGACATGGGTGTGCTCACATACATGCAGGCAATACACTCGTATATATAAAATAAAAATAATAAAATATTAAGAAGTGCTAAACCCAGTAAAATCCCAGATTGTGAAAACTTAATACTAAAAAAAGTATAAGTATTTCAATAATGCTTAACACTTATGACACACAAAAATACTTTAGATGTAGGTTTATTGTTCCATTATTTTAAAACTTTTATTTAGGGGTGTATGTGTGTGTGTCTGTGTATATGCCAGGTGAAGAAGACCTCAGATCTCCTGGAACTGGGTGGTTATGAGCCACCACACATGGGTGCTGGGAACTGAATTCCAGTCCTCTGGAAAAACAGAAGTGGTCTTAACTGTGTAGAGTCATCCCTCCAGCACTTTTATTTTGAGGACAGGATCTCACTATGTAAGCCAAGACTGGCCTCAAACACTGGGCAGTTCTACTTCAGCCTCCACTGTGGTGCTAGATTAAGACATGCACCACCATTCTGGGCTTTGGATGTTGAGTTTAATTGTACTACTAATAATTGCTTATTTTATTTATTTGCAACTTTGGGGACTGAGCCTAGAGCCTCACATATACTAGGCAACAAGCACTTCCACTGGGCTATATTTCCAACCCTCTTTATTTTTTTATTATGAGACAGGGTCATGGTGGGTTGCTCAGGACAGCCTTGAACTTGAGCTTCTTTTACCTCAGAAATAGCTGGGATTACAGGCCTGAATCACCAGGTTTCACTGCTTTTATTTTACAACCCCTGAACTATACGGTGCTTTTATCGGAAGTTCTCTAACTGGCTACGCTCCTCATACAACAATTTTAAAATTACATTTATTTATTTGTGTGTTTGTGTCCACGCGCGTGGAGATGTGAGGGACAATCTTGGGAAGTCAGTTCTCTTTCTACCACGTGGGTCCGACTCAGATCACCAAGCTTGGCTGCCAGCGTCTTTACCGTCTTGAACCATCTGGCCTGCCCCTGATCCAGCAATTTTGTGGATTGAGTCACATAGTTCTATTTGACAGCAGTGGGATCCTTTTAATACTCATTTTAGGAACTAGGAAAGTGACTCTCCGAAAGGTAAAATGTGTTGTCCAGGATGATAGCATTATTCAGTGTCTGCCTGAGACGCACTCAAAACCCACGAATCTGATTCCTAAGTTTGCCTTCAGGTACCAACCCACAACTGCTCAAGAGAAAGCACGGACTCCGCCACTGCAGGCCCAGACAAAGAGCAGCGTCTCACTCACCATTGGCGATGAAGTAATCCTCCACTGCACCCCTCAGCCACTCGGCCTTCTCCTGGCTATGTACGCCCCCGAAGCCATTCTCCACCGCGATCTGCGAACACAGGCCCAAGTCCACCATGACAGCACCGAATTCAGCGTTCCGTGGCCTGGGAGTCTGCCGCTTACACCGCCCAGTCAAGGCTCGGCCGCTTCACCTGAACAGATCCTGTTTTGCCCCGAGCCCTGACTGTGATCCTGCCATTGCCTCACTCACCTGCAAAGCAGGCCAAGCGTCCAGTGCTGCGCGGACGCCCGCCCCGAAGAGCAGTCGCACATCTTCCTCGGAGTCCGCCATCATCCGCCCAGATCACGTGATACCCAGGCGGACCAATCACGCGGCAGCACACACCAGGCAAGATGAGCGAAAAGCCAATCCTCAGAACACAGACTCAGTTTTCTGGTGACCTGGCAGCAAGACCAGAACAATAGAAAAACTTGTCAGTGGTAGGTGACACCCCCACAGTTAATTATTTGTTCTAATTTAACTCAAAGGATGCCGGACGTGAAGAACGTAAGAGGCCATAACTTCTGGATCCGTGGGTTCCCGGATCTAGAGCAGAACACTTAGGAAAATATAGCCTAAAAAAAAAAAAAAAACCAAAAAATAAAGCTCTTCGTTGTAGGGCCGGTGAAATGGCTTGGCTGGCTTGGCGTGTAAAGGCAGTTGACGCCATACTTGACGACCTGAGTTCAATCCCCAGGACCCACATGGTATAAGGAGAGAACCAATTCCCAAAAGTTGTCTTTTGATTGCTACATGCACGCTGTGGCACACGCTTACACACACACATACACACATACACACACGCACGCTAAATAATAAATGTAAGTTAAAACTATATTTTAAACTTAGTAACATCTGTAGAACACTAACTAGAACTAACATCATCCGAATACACATTTTTTAATCTTATTAATACAGTACGTATTTACCTTCTCTGTCAATCACTGAGCCAGCTACTTTCCCAGACTTCCTGGGGAGGTACAGGAAAGGAACGTACAGGGCAGAGGAGACATACAAGAAAGAACTCTTGAAGGTGGAAGTGGAGACCACTGCTTTTGCTTCGCATGGCCAAGAGTGAGAAAGGCCACCATAGGACAAAAGAGCCCCATAACCTCCCAGAGAATCGTGACGAGCTGGTGCTTCAGAGAAAGGTTCCTGGCATAACCGATGATGAGGCTCTCAAACAGTGCCAATCCCAGCCTCAGAGCCAGCTACCCCCACTGTGGCAACCTGGGGGCTCCAATGAGCTCAGCTACTGTGTTTATGTCCCTTGAAATGGCAACCAGAAATGAGTGAGGTCAGGAGACATGGGACTGCTAAGCTCCAGAGGCTCTCATTCATCAGCGTCTCTGGTCAGTTTAGTGCTACTGCAAATAGTAGTGGGCTTGGTGGGTGAGAGGCATTCCTGAACAAAGATCTGGTGGAGACAAACTTGGAGTAGGCATATATTTTCAGAGGTGAAAGACTGAGGCAGGAGACCTGCTCCCAGTGCTGAGAACTAGAATACACATTTTATTTTTTTAAATTAAAAAAATATTTTTTTATATTTTATGTGTATGCGTGCATTGCCTGCATGTAGGCAAGTGCACCCATGTTGTGCAATGCCCGAGGAGGACAGAAGAGGCTGTCAGATCCTCTGGAACTGGAGTTATGGACAGTTGTTAGCTGCCATGTGGGTACTGGGATTCGAACCTGGGTCTTCTGCAAGAACAACCAGTGTTCTTAACCACTGAGCCATCTCTCCAGCCCCACACATTTTATTTTTTTTTAATTTATTATTTCTATTTTATGTGTATGAGTGTATTGCCTGCATGTGTCTAAGTGCACCTGTGTGGTGCAGAGCCTGTGGAGGACAAAAGAGGGCATCGAGTTAGGATGGTTGTTAGCCACCATATGGGTTTTGGGAATTGAACCGGGGTCCTCTGCAAGAGCAGCTAGTGCTCTTAACCGCTGAGCCATCTTTCCAGCCCCTAGAATACACATTTTAACAGTAGAATATACATCTAAATTTTTTGTGGTCTATCTATCTATCTATCTATCTGTCTGTCTGTCTGTCTGTCTGTCTATCTATCTATCTATCTGTATATCAGAGAGAGAGAGAGAGAGAGAGAGAGAGAGAGAGAGAGAATATCATTTGGGGGAGTCAGTTCTCTCCTTCCACCAAGTGGGTTCCAGAATCGAACCCAAGTCATCAGGCTTGCCATACTACAAGACATCACATCCACCTCACATTGTTTTATTAGACAGAAGTTCCCTATGGTTGACGCAAAAACACTGCTCTCACCTCAGTGGGAATAAGACATAGTTTATTCTTGAGTGAAATATGAGTGATTATGGCTGGGATTCAGGTTGCCCAGAAAGACATATTATTTTGTAGAAGCGGTTATATGACATTTTAGTAATTACAGCCCAAAGAAAGTTATAAATCAAAGCATTTGCCAAATACATTGGTAGGGACCACAGGTAGGCAGAGTGGGGGAAACTGTTACAGATTTCAGATGCTATTTGATGACACTGTTAGCTTTTAGATTGGTGGAAGCTAGTGGTCTACTAAGAATATATTATGAGGTTTTGATAGTCACAAAGATCCTAGGTCACACACAGGGACAGGCAATGAATAGCTTTCAAAGGGAGTAACAGTAGTTCAAGAAGATTTGACTTTCATCTGCAACATTTTAATTCTCCATAATCACAAAGTTCAATTAGTTGATCTTGTAGAAGTTTTAACATGGGTTATGTAGCCATGGCTGGCCTTGGAGTCTAATGGCTCCTGAATCCTCGGTTTAGTCTCACACCACTACACCTAGCACAGAATATACATTTTCCTGAAGTTCACAAGAACATTCTCCAGGACACACCACATAGTAGTCCAGACAGCAGGCTTCAGTTGGTTTTAAAGGATTGAGAAATGAGGATGTAGTTCATGGCAGAACACTTGCCTAGCATGCTAGGATCCTGGGTTTCATCCCCAGTACAGCAAAAGAAAACATAGAAAGAGCACAAAGCAAAGTTAGAAATAATAACAGAAAGTAACTTGTGAAAGTCACAAACTTGTGGAAACTTATGCATTCCATTATATGGGAATGAGTCAATGGGAAAAAAAGGGAAATTGGGAAATATACTGAAATTAATTTTTAAAACAGCATACCCATGGTGGCACATGTCTTTGATCCCAGCACTCAGGAGGCAGAAGCAGGTGGATCTCTGAGTTTAAGGCCAGTCTTGGTGATTTCCAGGCCAGCTGGGGCTACAGAGAGACCCCTGTCTCAAAAAGACATATATAGATTCTCTGACCAAGGTTGAGAGTGGCACCAATCTATAGAAACTTTCAGCTCCAAACTAAAAAATTATTATAGTGTAAATATTTAAAAAGAAGAAAGATCTCAAATTAATAAACTAAGGTTCCATATTATGAAACTAGGGGGCAAAAGCAAAGGTATTCCTAAGTAAGCAAAAGAAAGGAAAATAAATGAAATAAAAATGGAAAAACTCTGCTTTGGATTGGTCATTGTGAGACTGTCCCCAATGACCTGGATGCCTGCACTAGCTGTGAACTTCTGCCAAGCTTCCCAGTCTTCCTGGTCAAAGGAGTCTTCGATGGACACCACTGGAGAGTCCCAGATGAAAGACTTATACTGGTCAGGCATGATGTGCCTGCTGGTGTCATCAAGAAACTTGAAGTCCAGGTCCTATTTTCCAGACCTAAGGCAGCGCCATCCATGTGGATGACAACCATGTCAGTGTAGCCAGTTCACCTGGAGCTCTGTTGGAAATTCCAGCTCTGTGATCATGTAATTGGTCCAAAGCATTGCTTCTGTCACCTCACTTCCCACTTAGTGTCAGGAGCCCTCAACCTCCAGTGTAATTTCCAAGGTGGTCATAGGCAAGATTCCCAGTGGTTCTTTGTATAAAATAAAAGCCTCAGTGACTCATTAAAAATGGGGGAAAAATGGAGAAAATCAGTGAAGTAAATATCAGTTATTTGAAAAGATCAACAATATTTACAAACCATTAGCTAGATTTAGAAAAAAACAAAGAAGAGTCAAATTACTGAAATCAGTGATGGAAGAGTGGGCATCACTACTGTCCAGTCAAAACAGACCACAAATTGTATTGCCAAAGGCAGTGGGGAGATGCAGCCTAGTACTGCCACCAGCAGCCTGAGGAGTTTCCTTCCCCCACAGGTAAAGCCAGAGCCTTGATTCCACTGCAGGAAAGAGTTTCAGAATGACAGCCTGGTTTACATAATGAGTTCCAGGCCAGCTGAGGCTACTGGGAGACCTAGTCTCAAAAAGAAAACAACAGCCGGGAGCGGTGGTGCACTCCTGTAGTCCCAGCACTTGGGAGGCAGAGGCAGGTGGGTCTCTGTGAGTTCAAGGCCAGCCTGGTCTACATAGTGAGTTCCAGGACAGCTGGGGCTACAGGGAGACCCTGCTTCAAAAAGACAAAAAAAAAAAAAAAAAAAAAAAAAAAAGAAGAAAAAGAGAGAAAACAACAACAAAGAGTTTCAGAATGAGCTGAGTGAAGCCAGTTCCAGGGGATCTGACTCCCTCTTCTGACCTCCACCAGCATTGCACTACACAGGTACACTTATACACATACAGGCAAAACACTTATAAAATAAAAATAAAATGAAGAGGTAAAAGAGATGAAAGGGAGGAAGAGAGCAAACAGGTAGGATTATGTGTAGGAAGACAACCATGTGAACATACAGCAAGAAGACTAAAGGAAGATAAGGATGAAATTAGAAGTAACCAACCCTGCTAACAACTCATCTCAAACTCTAGCCTGTAGAAATGTGAGAACATTTTAAAAATTTAAACCACTGAATCTGTTGTATTTTTCTATGGTAACCCAACAAATTGATACACTTCACTCTGTAAACATTTAAAAAAACTTCGATATATTTACTTACGGTATGCAAATAATATTTCAACTAAACTACTTTTAGAAGAGTATCCTAGACAGGTATAATGGCTTATACCTAAGATTCCAGCACTTGAGAGACCAAGGCAAGAGGATCCCTCTGAGGCCAATACAGTGAGTTCCAGGCAAGCCTAGACTACAGAGTAAGAACCTATCTCAAAAGAAAAAAAAAGTGTATCCTAAGCCAGGCCTGTAGTATAGGTCTGTAATCCCAGCTATTCAGGGCACCAAGCAGGAGGTTACAGAGCAAGTTCAAGTACAGCCTGAACAACTTAGTAAAACCTCATCTTGCAATAAAAAATTACAGAAAGGGCTAGGGCTGTAACTAAGTGGTAGAGAGCACACAAACTTGCCTAGGTTCAATCCTCAGTACTACAAAAAGGAAAAGAAAAATGTGGAAGGACTAGCAAGTGTGGGCCAATGCGCTGGGGACTTTCTTGGCT